AACACATCATAGTAAAATTAATACCTTCTCCGCTTCGCATCGAAGCTAAAATTGAAAAAATAAAAAAATTTACCGATTTTTAAATTTGTAATTTTTTTGGATATTTCCCCCATTTTCGGGAAACGAGGGAATTTTTTTCAATTTTTAAGGGTAATGTCTTCAACTAGATACGATTTGTGATCTTTTGACNTTCAATTTTTAAAGGTAATGTCTCGAACTAGATACGATTTGAGATCTTTTGACGTACTTTTGAAAGAAATCGGTCCAGTGAGAGCTGAGAAAAAGTGGCAACAGACATAAAAAAAATAAAAAAAAAAAACACATCTATGTAAAATTAATACCTTCTCAGCTTCGCATCGAAGCTAATATATACTATTGGTGGAAAGTAAGTATGTCTATTTTTGTCATTAGACATTTTTCAACCGCCTTTCTACTCCCACCTAAATATTGACTTATTTTTATCTTCTGAAATAAATGTTCATAAGTTGTTATAAATCATCCATTTTATTAATTAGATAATTTTCCTACACATATGCTAGTTAATGATGATTCAATTTTAAAAGACATGAAGGCGGATGGAATTAATATTTGTTATTAAAATTATATAGTGCTTAAGAAAATATGAGACTTTAATAAAAAAAAAGTTCTTATTATTATTAATATTTTAAATTATATGAAATAAGACGTAATTAAGAAATTCTTTTGTATGTTTTAGATGAAATTTGAATCAATTTTCATTTTTAATCTGACTTGATTTTCTCTTTTTCTCTTATACATAAACAGAACAATTTTACTAGTATGTCAATCATTAAGTTCTATGATAATTATTGAAAATTATACTCTGAAGTTTTAAATATAAACATTTCAGATATACTTACTTATACCTTTTCTGGCGATGTATGTTGAATAAAACAATATAGAAAAATCAAGAAAAAATATTTAATTTAAAATCAATAGAAAAAAAAGGTATTTTTCGAATTTTTTTTCGCAATAACCTTAATAGTTAATACGTATTAAATTTATTGTTTTAGCATTTGAAAAATTTATATTGATGAAGAATTATTCTAAATATCAATATTCAACATATGTTAATTGACAATCATAAACCAATTGAAATTTGATTTATTTCTACAAAAAAAAAAATTAAAATATAAAAACAAAATTCTTACCTGACATCTATCGAGCTTTGCTCCTAAGTGATCTAACAAAAAAAATAGCTCGTTGAAAAGAGATTCGTAATCATTGATTTTAGTTTGAATTTCTAGAACTTGACTTTTTTGTACGTCTAAACCTGCTTGGTTTAAATATTCAAAATTTTTGTCCAAAGTTTTATGTGATTCTGGTTCACACATAAGCCGTTCTATTTCTAATTTAGTCATGCATTCGTATCTTTCTGCTGCAAGAGTAGTGCAGAGTTGTCGTTGTATAATCATATTTTTTAAGCGTATTTCCATATTCTTTATTTTTTTAATGTATTCTAACACATCTGTTGTGTTTTCAAAACCCAATGCTTCACAAACATACTCAGCAGCGGCTATTTCTCTAGATAATTTCTCTCCATCTAATCGATATACATTTACCTGTTAATAAAGTTCTTTTGTAATACGATAACAATTTTTGATGTTAAAGCATTGCTTCAAGGACATTGAACACATTATTATTTAATAATATTACAAAATAAGTCTATAAAAAGTTAATTTTAGTTTACAGATACAATACAATAAAAGACAAGAAGGTTGTTGTTAAATTTTTTTTTTTTGACATATTGATAACTATACAAGGTATAATTTTTTTTTTAATTTACCAAGATAAATAAATAAATAGATTTTTCAAAACTTTTAAGAAATATTTGACGTGTTAAATAAACCTTCCTCATCCTAATTAAATTATTTAATACAATTTTATTCATATCTATAGCAATAAATAACTACCTTGTGATCTGGATAAGTAAACGGAAGTCCATCGGAATTAATAGTTACACTATCATTAAGTAGTGACTGAGATTGTGAATGAGACTGAGAATTACTCTCTGATTTATTTGTAATAGAGTCAGGTGGATTCATTTCTCGGTCAATCTCACCATTTTCAATCAATTGAGTAACCAATTCAGTGTCAGATGTATTAACTTTAGTTTCATTCCCATCCAAATAGCTGTATGTAAGCTGAAATTTTCCTTCATTTTCAGTCGATAATAATCGTTCCTGTTCGTCTATCAACAGGTTCCTTTTTTACATAATTTTCTATCGAACACCGTATTTCACTCTGTGTAGCTAACGATAAACGTCAACGTTACCATCAGCCGTCCCCCCAATACTAAATGCTGTAAAATTTATCGATATTTTTGTTATATATGTAATACTTTTTAAATTAGAGCCATTTACATATTGAATAGTAAAAAAAAAAAAACATGACATTCATTAATAAATTTAATGATTTTACAAAATAAAAAATTTTTTTTTGTCATTTTTTAGCTTCGATGTGAAGCTGAGAAGGTATTAATTTTACTATGATATGTTTTTTTTTTTTTTTTTTTTTTCTGTTGCCACTTTTTCTCAGCTCTCACTGGACCGATTTCTTTCAAAAATACGTCAAAAGATCACAAATCGTATCTAGTTGAAGACATTACCCTTAAAAATTGAAAAAAATTCCCTCGTTCCCCGCAAATGGGGGAAATATCCAAAAAAATTACAAATTTAAAAATTGCTAATTTTCGAAATGTTTTTATTTTTTTTTCTTAAAACTTCCATAACTTTTTGAAAAATCAACAAATCAACATAATTTTTTTTTATACTAAAACGTTAGATATCTACCTTTCATTTGATATCATTTTTTTGAAAATCTATCACGTAACCTCCTAATGAGCAGGGGGCGACCAAAACTTGAAATATTGTAAAAAACATAGATCTTTTTCAACTTAATTTTTGAAAATGTTCGGGAAATACTGCGTCCTTTAAACAAATATCAAATTAAAGCTTATTTTATGTAATATAAAATGAAAAAAAAAACATTTGTCCCGACGACCTATCTTCTATGTGCAAATGGCTACCATATTAAAAATATGCTATTTTAACAATTTTTTTTTTTTTAATTAAACACTATCTACAGATTTGCATCGAAGCGTTTTTTATGATAGTGATTTTAATCACTGTCAGATATCATCCATACTGAACCCAACTATGCCACGACCCCACTGTGCTTATTATTATTATTATTTTTATTTAAATTGATAAAATTGAATAAGGTAAACTTTTTCATCTTATTTATTTGTTGATATTATTAAATTTATTGACTTGTCAACTATATTACTTCCTATCGTTAAAAAAAATTAACTGTTTAATGTTTTGTTTATGTGGTCATCGATAAATTATACAGTATATTTTAGGAAAAAAAACCCCGTTTTTTTTTTATTAGAAACTACAAACCTGTTTAACTCAAGCATTGCAGTTTTTTTATTTATACGTTTCTTTTTTGAATTTATCTTTTCAGCAATTTCCAAATCTGTCTTTTTGGCCTTAATATAACTCTGATTGAATTCAGAAACATCAATTTGAGCACACGTGCCATATGTTAGGATTTTGATAACGATTGCCGCTTGTTCTTGAACATCATTTTTAAGTTGTTCATTAAGAGAATCCATCATATTCAAATTGTCGATAGCCAAGTCACATATTGAAGACATTTCATGATTAATTAATCTCAAGGCATCGATTTTTTTGTCTACGGATGCTGACCAATCACCACTTCCATTTGTTGGCATAACTTGAGTCCGGTGTACCTTTTGAAGTCCTTTAACGTGATCATTGTATTTACGTCGTTCTAACAATACAGAATTTCTTAACTGATTTATACGCAATGTTTTTTCTTTCACTCGATTTTTAATATCCATTAACTTTTCTTGTTTCTGATTTAAGTTTTTCAATAATTTTTTTTCTATTTCATCTACTTTCATTGATTCAAACATTTTGTATTGAGCGGTATTGTGGTTAGTTTCTGGTAAACCAATGACCAACTCAGATTGACGATTTACATTAACTTTTATGCGATTCAATGCTTTAACAGTATTTTTTAACTCGCTCAAACGTTTTTCTTCGGCTTCCGCTAACTTCAAACTACCTTTTAATTTTACTTCTGTCATCTTTTTTCCTACTTCTGCAGCCATTTTGACGGCCGTACGCTTTGCTTGAACTGTCCATCGATGGTCATTTGCTTTTCTCAATATTGAATAATCGTTCATTTTTGGCATCGTGATAAGTAATCAAGTTCGATATTGATCTCTAAGTTGTACTATAGAAACAATTTGAAATATTATTTTCTGTATGCATTTTTAGTTTTTATTAATTTATTAGGTCACCTAGTAATTGAACAACTAATAGTATTCAATAATTTAATTTTTTTGATTAAAATTTATAAATGCAAGTATTTTTATTTACGAACTTTTTATACATAAGTGTGACTCATAGATTATACCACTCTACAATTTTTTATGAAACAATGATTTTATTCATTTTTATGAACCACGATAAAAATTTAGCTCATTTTTAAATATTATTATTTTTTACTATTGTTTTTGGATATAACTTTCGGATGTTACATGTCAAATTAAAATTATTTTGTATAATTGTAAGAGGTTTTAAAATTGTAATAATAAAAGACTGCTGATTAACTTTTAAAAGTTACTATTCAAAATTTCCCTATTATTACTTTTTTTTATTTACAATAAACATCATAACTACAATGATTCATAAAAATAAGTAATACTTTGTGAAATTCATTGTTATGAAAATCAATCATTTGACAAAAAAAAAATATGAAGTAGCATATTTGATAAATCACTATATACATCAAAAGATTAAGTTTATATTAAATAAAACAACGATAAATACATTTTTTTTTTGTAAGAACTGATTAAAAAAATATTATTCGAATTGAGTATTATTAAATGATACTAGAATATTAGGTGTTTTATGGTGACCTTTGTATTGAAATATTTGTTAAATATAGGAAAGATATAGTATTAATAAAAAATCTTTGTAATATTTCCATACATATTTTACTCATGAATATTTTTTGAATCTATTTCAAACCTATAATCTATTTACAAAATAATAAAGGATGTTCTATTGATTTGGCCTTAAAATATTTTAGTAATATTGAAATAAATAAATTTAACTTATTCAAATTAGAAGCTCATTTATTTAATTTTAAACTATTTATTTCGTGATTTACAATTTAGTAACTCAATTGTTCATTCTGAAGTGAAATAAAAAAAAAAACATTATTTCCAACCGTATATTAATTTAAATATTAATTTCAACGACTAATTAATATCATAAGTTAAAACTATTTTAACTAAAAACTGTTGAAATTTTGTATGTGAAAAAAACTTCACAAAATTTGGGTTTAGTTAGTAAATTGAATGATTAACGTTCGAAAAATGTACTACTTTAGTTAATTTACAGTTTATTATTCTAGTTGCAGATTATTTATTGTTGATAAAAGGTAACATTATTGTATTAATATTGTTATTGTCAGATGAAATTAGATTTCTGGCTTCTATAATAGATATTTTGTGTAAAATTAATTAGTAGCCATGAGATATATTTTCATACATGTGTCCACTTAAGTTTACAATAATCAAAAAATTGGGACATCGTATAATTTCTAAAAAATACTGATATATTTATTATTAATGAGTTATAAAAGAAGAAAATAATTTAAAAGTTACTTGATGAGAAAAAAAGAAGAAGGATAATTCAGTTCAATAAAATTCTGGAACTATCATAATTTTAAAAGTTGGTAAGATTTACACAGAAATACTTCAAAAATGTCTTAAACAAGTTGATATAATTAATTGTGAAGTAATATTTGTTTTCAATGAGGTGTCCGTGTGTGTTTAGAGATAATGATTAAACATTGTCTTTTTGTGACTCTTTTTCATAAGAAGTATTAATATTTAAACAGTTCGTGAATGTAATAATTAAATCTTTATTTTTACAATGTTCAAGGATACTTAATACTTAATATGTATAATGTTTGTTTTGGACTTTTAGCAAATAAATTTTTGTAACACATTTTAATTCGACTTATATTGTTAAAAAGATCATGATGATCATCATACCAAATTGGACATTTATTGTTTATACCGACAAAAAAACAAACCCCTTGACATTCAGTAGTGTACAAACGTGAAACGCGACGCTAGTGTAAGGGGTACAGAAGTAATGGTAGTAGTAGTGAGTGAGAGTACATTTTGCTTATTAATCGAAGCGTCGAGGCAGAACTTGCCTGTACACCACTACCGCCGAGCGTTGTCTCATGGGAATCTGGAAAATAGAACAAAAAATTAAAGTAAAAAGGCATAGGAAGGAAAGAGTGGGTAAGGTTGTTTGGAGGCGATAGAGAATGGAGATGTAGGGTGGCCCACAATATATATATATATATATATACAACTTGTGATCATTATATCCTTTTGCCCCTGTTACAACAGAACACTATTTGAAGCCATATTTTTTGTTTTCCCCAACATCATGGTCAACGTTGACTCACACAGTATTTTTTTTTTTGCCCTCTAAAAGTACTAAAATGGATCGGTAAATACCATCTCTCATTCCCAATAACAAGAAAATAATTTAAAAGCAAATTTAATTACTTCGTGGACTTTTAAATTAAAAAAAAAACTTATTATCATATAATAATAATTATATTTTATTTTATTATGTAACCTCTTAAATAAAATAACAATAACAGTCCCGTGTTAAAAAAATTAATTTGAAATAAATTTTAAAAAAAAATTATTTAACTAAAGGGTGATATAATTTATTTTTAAAAAAATATATTTTAAGTGATATGTTGTTTATAATCAGTATTTTGATTATTACATATTAGTGTTATTTATGTATCTTATCATATATTTATGTTCCTAATATCAGCAATGGAATAATATTGGGAATATCTCTGTTTTCCCTAAAACATTACCACTATAAAAGATGTATGTGTTAAGGAATAGATATAGTACACAAGTCTATTCTATGAAAATATTATTAATTACATTAACTTAACTATGCTATTTATCTATAATAATATAACAAATTTAACGGTTATATGAGATGTATACCAATTATTACACCGTAAATCTACGGCAAATCTTCTCTACTTACTTTGAACAATAAAGTTAGTAGTTATCACACAAGTACATTATAAACAAACAATAGTTTCATATTATTCTATACAATTGACTAAGTTTTAGTTGTTTAATAGATATGGTTAACACTGGCCATAATAAATTATTATTTCGAACTTATTATTTGTTCTATATTTCAAAAAAAAAAATAACTATTATTACTATTCAAATTACATGTTAACTTAGATTATATTTATGAATGTAAGTTCATCAAGTAATTCTCAATGAAATATGAAAGTGTTTTATAAATTCTGAGTAACATCGTTCTAATTTGTGATGATAATCATTTTTTAACGTTTGGAGTAGGCAGTGAAAATTTTTTATGTCTATATTCTCCTTTTAAAATTTACATATTGTTATGCCATTAACTATTAGAGTAAAGATAAATAGTTAATTTGACAACTTTTAGTTATAAGCTAACACATAGAAATTATAATTTTTAAACTTTGTATAAATGTATGGAAAACTTGTGTTATAAATTAATCATTCCATATCCACAGTAATAATATTTGTAGTTAACATAATATATCTTTTTACACAAATTTTTTACTATGATGTGTTTTTTTTTACTTAATTAATTAAGTAAAATTATTTTTTATAAGTCAACGAGTTGACGTCTTTGTGTATATTTGTTGAAAAAGGGGTAATACGAAAGCTGTATGTCAAGAATGAAAGGTAAGACGACCGTTAATCCCAAGAGACACATTTCATTGAGCTTCTTNACTTAATTAATTAAGTAAAATTATTTTTTATAAGTCAACGAGTTGACGTCTTTGTGTATATTTGTTGAACAAGGGGTAATACGAAAGCTGTATGTCAAGAATGAAAGGTAAGACGACCGTTAATCCCAAGAGACACATTTCATTGAGCTTCTTGTCACAATTCGTTGGAAAATCGTTGTGATGGGAGAACATAAGTTGTTCATTAGATTAATAAGGATTGTAACAGTATTTACAAGCCCTTTCTATCGTATCACTCTGAGTTAGAGAAACTTTATGCTACCATTATTTCATCCTGTCATCCAGTTTCTACAAACATATTATTCACTAACTTGTGTAAAATACTGTATTTTAACCATAATATTCCAGCTCACCAAAATTAACAGTATATCAATAAATACATTTTGATAAAAGGATGTACTTGAAAACTCCCTTGGAATATTTTATAATTTTAAAAATCACAGTTGTAAATATAAACATTTAAATGTTACCAATTATCATAAGTTACATTATAACAACATAAAAATAGCTTAGTACTTAATAAAAGTTTTAATATAACTTTTGGTAAACCTTTACTTATATGTAATAAATATTATATACTATAATTATTATCGTTATAAAACATATTATCATTTTTTTCTCCTCAGAAGTTAATAGTGTCTTATGCTGTATGATAAAAAAAAAGAAAAAAATGGTCCTATCCCGCTTCGGTCTCCCTTAAAATTGTTTCAACTCTTATTTTTAAATCAAAGCATATGTGTTCAACCAACTACTAATTTAATCGAAAACATATTATATTTTTATTTAATAAACAAAATTGAATCAATTTTAAAGGATATGGAGAAATTCATAGATAGTAAGGTATTATTAATTATTGAAGTGAAAAAAATATAATATGTAGTATACTTGTAAAGATATTGCATAAGCCATAGTTTAAAAAAACATCCCATAAAATTTTAATATTAAGGTTCAAATACAAATGTTTATGTTTCAACGTCAATCTGTTAATATAAACAGTATAAAGGACTTTCTGGGTTCTATAAACTTAGGGAAAACCACCAAGTGGTTTGGAAAATTGCCAATCATTCATTAAAAGACCCCATCACTCTAGGGAACAATGAGTATTCTACCTCTAATCCAAAATTCTAAAACTGATCTCTTTGGTCAATAATCACAACACTGTTACACAGATATTTTAAACTATAATTTAATAATCATGCATTTTTTCTCAACTGTTAATTTTTTTAGTACATAGTAAAGACATTATAAAATGTCTCAATAGATATCAATATCTCTTTTCTAATATGGAATAAAATTATAGTATTGTATCTACCGGGATTGAGT